TGTCCACTCTGCCTGTCAAAAAAAAAAAAAAAAAGAATTTTACTGTAGTCTTTCCTAACAAGGTCAGCCGCTTCCATCTGTAGGTAGTTTTTCTTTACGTCATAGAAGTATTTCTTTGTAATTGGATAGTTGCTGCCCTTTTCTCCTGGAGCGCTGGTTGTGGGCAAATCAAGATCCTTGTGGGCTGAACTTCCAGACCTTTCAGTTCTGAGCACCTTTCCCTGGGGGCTCTGGGCTCCTTCTCTGTTGGACCCAAGTGCCTTCTCCACATTCCTTCAAAATGCCAAACGTGTTCTTTCCTCAGGCTCCCTGCGCTTGCTTTCTGGAATAGCTTCCCCTGCTCGGCCAATGCCTTTGGTTAATCTTAGCTCGGAAGGCTCCTTCTCAAGCCCCCTCTCCTGCTGCCTTGGACGTAAACACGTCCTCTCTCAGGGTGGTTCCTTCGCTACATTTTAGTCATGGTGCTCGTAATTGTGTTGTTTTTTCACTGGCTGTTTTATCCAGGTCAGCCCTTAGTGTGCATGTATGTGAGGAACAGCTGAGAGAATTCATGCCAGGGCTCCCAGAGGGAGACCCTGCCTCATCCAGCCTCTCACCCCAAACACAGGAGCCGTGGAAGGAGAACGGGTGGGGAGGAGGTGGCCCCTCTGCAGACCTGAATACCTGGTGTCTGCTGGGTCTTTATTCAGCAGCTGCAGGTCCTGAAGCCACAGGCAGGTAATAGGAGCAGGAAGGGGCCAGGCTTCCTAGCAATGCAGTTCTGTGGGGGGAGCCTTCTGGGCCTGGCCAGGGCTCACCTTTCTCCAGCCTCTTGCTGCCCCATTTTGTTTTTCTCCACAGTGCTTCCCACTCAACACCATGAGGCGTTCTTTTGATGTACAGTCAGTAAGTCAACAGGTATTTCTGGAGGTTTTTTTTTTTTTTAATTTTATTTAAGCTATACAAATTTCGTGCATCTCATATACATAGATTTAGAAACAGTGTTTCCTCCCGCCACACACCTCCCTCCTGCGCTCCCACCCTTCTTCCTCCTGTGTCTCCTATTCCCACTCTTAATTTTTACAAAGATCTATTTTCAGTTTACTTTATACTCATCAGATTAACCCTACAAGTAAGTAAAGTTCAACAAATAGTATGAGGAGAGAAAAAAAAAAAAAAAAAAACACTGTTCCTCAGAGACAAGGGCTGAAAGCAATCATTGAATCAGTTTTTTGATATGCTCAGAATACATCCCTGAACAAAACAAAACAGTGATTCCCACCTCACAGCAGGGGGAACCAGGCACACCATATAAGGAGATGAAACATCTACATTAAAAAAGTACATGAGAAGGTGGTAACTGCTCTGGGGAAAAGTTGATTAGGAAAGGTGGCAAAGGTGATCCCAAGTGCCGAGAGCTGAAGGGCAAGGTGCAGTCTGAAAGGAGGGACTCTGTGCTGAGCTGGAGCCCCGCCCCGTGTGTGGCAGAGATGTCATCCAGGACGTAATGAGGAAGCACAGTGACCCTGCTGACTCTGGCTTCTCTTTGGGTCGGTTAATTTATTTGAAAGAGTTACAGAGATAGGGAGGGGAAGAAACAGAGAGAGATCTTCATCTACTGATGCACTTTCCAAATGGCTGCAATGGCTGGGTCTAGGCCAGGCTGAAGCCAGGAGCCAGGAACCCCATCTGGGTCTCCCACTTGGGAGGAACCCAAGGATTTGGGTACATTAGCAAGGAGCCAGATTGGAAGTGGAGCAATCAGGACTCGAACCAGTGCCCATATGGGATGGTGGCATATCAGGCAGCAGCTTAACCCGCTGTACCAGAACAGTGGACCCACTGCAAGGTCCTGAGCAGGGCATAAGGCGGTGCAACTCAGGTGGTCACAGACTGATGTGGGGAGCACACACTGAAGGTGATATCGGAAATGACCCCCTAAAATATGTATCAAAATGTGGCCCCTCAAAGTTCCCCAGACGTCCCATCTGGGGTGCCACATATGCCATCGAAATTTGGGGTGCCATATGATATCACCATATGCTCATTAATAAATACCCAATATTAATAAGCCCGAGAGGGTTCTTGCCTAATATTTAGAGAAGAATTCTAAATACCGGCATAAATAAACAAGGCAGCATGGTACATTTTAGGCTTTTATTTAGCCTAAATAAAGATGCAAAGGAGGCCAGCGCCACGGCTCACTAGGTTAATCCTCCGCCTTGCGGCGCTTTCACACCAGGTTCTAGTCCCAGTCGGGGCGCCGGATTCTGTCCCGGTTGCCCCTCTTCCAGGCCAGCTCTCTGCTGTGGCCAGGGAGTGCAGTGGAGGATGGCCCAGGTGCTTGGGCCCTGCACCCCAGGGGAGACCAGGATAAGTACCTGGCTCCTGCCATCGGATCAGCGCGGTGCGCCGGCTGCGACGGCCATTGGAGGGTGAACCAACGGCAAAAGGAAGACCTTTCTCTCTGTCTCTCTCTCACTGTCCACTCTGCCTGTCAAAAAAAAAAAAAGAAGAAAAAGATGCAAAGGAGAGTGAGAGCTTTGTCTAAACGAGAGAGGTAAATCTGGGTTCATACCCAGCACCAGGAACCAGCCACGTGGAGGAGCATCTAGGCCAGGAAGCCTAGAGCAGGTGGCCCAAAGGCCACTTATCCTGGAGGCGCAGGGCCAGCCCTCTCCCGGCGAGAAACCAGGGCAAAGAAGAGATGGCCGGAAACAATGTGGCCCAGGCTTTTAATCCACTCTCAGAGGGGAGTGGTTAATTAACCTGATTGGCTGGTGGGCACCCAGGTCTGGCCAGGGAGGGGCATGAGGTCACACAGGGGCATGGCAAAGGTAACAGGTAGGGTGTGAGGTCACACAGGGACGTGGCAAAGGCGTGGTCTTCCAGCTCACAAACCAAATCGATTTTAACTTGTGTGTCTGCCTACTTCAAAGGCAGCACGGAGACTGGGAGCTGTTGTGACACATTGCCCTGGAGACAAATGGTGGTAGTTTGAACTTGGTGGAAGCTATGGGTGTGGCAAGAAGTGCTTTCACTCTGGGTAGATGATGCCAATGAAGGCAAAAGGAGTTCCTGGTGCACTGGGGTATAGGTATGAAAGAAAGTAGGCAAGAGGTATTCTGAAGGACCAAGCTGCTGTCACTGATCTGGGGCAGATGAGGTAGAGTGGGTCTGAAGGATGAGCCAGAGCTAGTTTGAGTGTGAGATGCTAGTGACTGGAAGTCGGAGTGAGGCTGCCTCGTCAATAAGTGGACATTATCAGGACTGGACATACATCTCTGGGAGTGATTGATGTAATGTATGTACACTGAATGTAAGTAGCCTGTGGAGCCGTGACCCTGGATGGGGTTATGAGGGAGTACATTAGTCAGCTTTTCATTACTACAATGAAATGCCTGAGACACGCTGCTTATGAAGGAAAGGGTTTTATTTAGCTCACAGTTTTAAAGGTTCAAGTTTAAGATCAGACAGCCTCAAAGGTTTGATGTCTGATGAGGATGGCAAATGACAATGGCTGAACACTGTTGGGGAAGGATCACATGGTGAGCCAGGAAGCAAAGAAATGACTTAAGGACCTCCCTCTAGGCCTACCTCCCAAGCATCATGATTGGATTAACTTCCACCCTCTTTTTCTTTTTAAGATTGATTTATTTGAAAGGCGTAATGAAAGAGAGAGCGAGTGCTCTTTCATCCACTGGTTTACTCTCCAAATGCCCACAACACCCGGGGCTGTGTCAGGCTGAAGCCAGGATCCTGGAACTCCATTCAGGTCTCCCGTTTGGGTGGCAGGAACCCAAGCACTCCCAGGCACATTAGCAGGAATCTGCATTGGAAGCACAGTAGCAATAGGGGATTCCCACCTGCTGGTCCACAATGCCCTCCCCAGTTTCCACTTTCGTATTTCCATTAATTTTTGACTTTGGAATTTTAAAGTCTGGCATGAATTTAGGAACCAGATCATGTTCAAACCATAGCAGAGTTGGTGTAGATAGAGAAAGAAAAGGTAATTACAAAAAACCAAGCCAGAAAAAGCAAGCCCTGGAAGCCACCCAAGGAAAGTGCTTCTGTAACAGGAGACTGGCTGACCACAGAAGTCCCTTGGTCATACCTGTAAAGGCATGGGCTTGTTTTTCTCTTTCTCTTTTTAACTGTTCTGGTTCACTCTGTGATTCCAGCACAGAATGTAGGTGCTTAATGAATACTGAAGTACAGCATGTATGAATGAATACACACCTTGCTAATGCCCAGGACACAGGGTTGTAACACTGGCCCCCTGTACAAAAGCAGGGATCAGTTAGGAGGGAACAGGCTCAGTGGCACCCACACCTTCCCTTCCCTTCCTCAGCTACACCAACATGCACTCAGGTGGGAGTCCTTCTGGTCAACACACACTCCAGGGCAAGCCCTGTGGTGTGGAGCTCGGTGGATCTGGGTCAGGCACTGGGTCACCCTGCAGCAGTCAGTCCGCAGAGCACTCTCCAGCCACCCCCTCTGTCCACTCCTCCATGTCTAGTTGCTTGGCCACCCATCTGTCCATCTGTCTATATAACCATTCCTTTGTCCACTTCTACAGTCACTTTTCTGTCCCTGCTGTGTATTCATAGCCAGTCCTCTGTCCATCCATCAGCTAGGGTGATCAATTTCCCAGTTTGCTGAAGACTGAAATTCTGGCATCATCCTTGGAGACCCCTAAGTAACGGGAAAACCAGAGCTTGGTTGACCCATCCTTCTCCAGGCATCCTACAATCTATTCCAGGGCTCCTAGCCAGACTGTCCACCTAACCACCCACCTGACCTCCAGCCCATCCTCCCCGGGAGAAAACAAGCCCCCACCCCCTTGTGGCTCCGCCCCTTCCGGAAGTGGTAGCAGCTAATCCCGGCGCCCTAGCAACAGCGCCTTTCAGACCGGCCAGTCCGCTTGCGCGGCTCTCAGTGCGAGCCAATAGCGAGGGGCGTAGGGAGCGAGGCGCGGGGGGCGGGGCTCGGCGCGGCAGCAGCCATTTTGATGGGAAAGAAACAATAGGACGGAAACGCCGCCGGACCGGGCTGAGGCCGCAGGTAACGCCCGCCTCGCCGGGCTTAGGGCTCTGCTATTCCAGGAGACTTGGGGGAGGCTTTTTCCGGGTTGTTGGGGGGCGGAGTCTCTAGTCATTCAGGGTCTCCCCATCCTATTTGGGGAGGGGGTTCCCCGCTATCATTGTGGGGGAGGTCTCCCTGTGTCTTTGTGGAGCCGGATTTTCCTTGATTTTAGAGAGGCATTATGTTTTCAGGTCAATGGGGAGGGACGATCTCCCTTGGCTTTGTGGGGGCACAATCTAAAAATACGGGGAGTCTCCTGTGTTTTTAAGAGGGGGGGCAAGATCCTCACCCGTCATAGAGGATGTCTTCCCGGGTCTATGAGGGAGTTATCTCCGGTGTCATTGAGGGGTCTCCCCAGGTCCGAGGGCGGGCACGGTCTCCCGGATTACTGGTGAGGGGACGTCTCCTGGGGTCTTTGGGTGGAGGGGTCAGCCCGGCGCCTCAGGGACTGTTACCTGGGGCCAGCAGATGTGCAGCCATTTTGGGTCCTGATGCCAGTCGGGCCTGTCAGCCTGTGTTTGATGGGGCTGCACACCTAACGGTAGTATCAAATAAACTTCTTAATACATACCAGAGAATGCCTGCTTTATAGTGATGTTTCCACCTTGAGTGGAGTTTTCATTTCTTATATTTGATTACACAGTGTTTTTTGTATTTTGCTTCCTAATGACTTATTTTATTTTAGGATTTTATTTGGTATCATGTATCAATAAAGCTGCACTAGAAGAAAATGAATGAAAATAAAATGTAGAAACCAGTAGAATCTAGTGCTTTTAAATAGCTGGAGTAATGGCATTAGTCACTGCTTGGTTTTAAACGTTTTGAATGCACAATGTATATAGAAACAAGAATAGAAATCATCTCCATGAATAGTTTTAAGAAACAGTAGAGAAAGTTTTGAGGCTTGGTTACAAATGCTGCAGATCATCATTTGTTATTTATTTTTTACAAAGGACATAACCACAATAATTTTGTTGATGGTATTTTAAATGTTTGCTGTATTTGCATTTTTAGCAGGGTAACATTTTGAGTGGACTAAGATGCTTATTTACATAGGTTGTTGCTGTGGGGTTTGTATAATTACATCTTGTAACTTGGTATTAAGGATTTAAAGAGAAGTTTCAGGGTGTTTAAATGATCACCAGTATCTGAATTAGAAATACATCATGAAAATGTTATGGTATTTGACATAATAGATGTTTAGATCACCCAGTAACTTTTTCTTTGGAGAAAAAAATCAGTTGAACTGATAACTGTTATTCAAGTAGATTTACCCGCTTTGGGACATGACAGTAGAATTCATAAGCATCGTTAAAAATCAGATGGATGAGAAGCAGGAATAGAGTTGAAATAATTGTGGAAACCACTTTAGCAGACGTAAAAGACTTGAAGTTGTGTGGGTGACAGAGGAGTACACTGTATACAGCCCTGTGTGTGTCTGAGCAGTGGAATATGCCAGGAATGAGCAACTACCAACTGATGAACTTTAGCCAATCTCTGTTGCAGAAGGATGCAGGAGCCTTCTGTAAGCTCCAGAGGTGTCATTGGTATCTAGGCAACAAGGATGAGCCTGAGCCTCCCTGAGGCCAGCTTGCTGAGGTGAAAATTTTCCATTGTTTGGCTCATCAAAAGGATGCATTGGGGAAGCGCTATCCCAAAGTGAAGTTATTTTGCATAGTGGGGTAATCATCTTAAGAAATAATTTAAACACACTTCTGTATGTTACATAGTAAGCAGATGATTACTTTTGTGTGGTTACATTTTTTAAAAGTAAATTATGTTTTTGCTTATTTGTATACTATATAATAAAATAGGTATTCATAGTAGTTTTGTAGTATTTCCTAATGACAATAAAATGGACTTTTTGCCCCATTTTTTAAAAGATTTTCTTTATTTCTCTGAGAGGTAGTCACAGAGGGAGAGAAGGAAAGACAGACAGAAAGGTCTTCCATCTGCTGGTTCACTCCCCAAATGGCCACAACGGCCGACAGGGAGCTGATCCAAAGCCAGGAGCTTCTTCCTGGTCTCTGACACAGCTGCTGGAGCCCAAGTACATGGGCCATCTGCTAGTGCCTTCCCAGGCTGTTAGCAGAAAGAGCTGGATCAGAAGAGGAGCAGTCAGTACACAAACCAGCTACCTGTATGGGATGCCGGTGCTTTAGGCAGAGGCTTAAACTCTTCCACCACAGCGCCGGCCCCCTTTGGCCCAAAATTGAATTTAGAAGCCACCTCAATTTGTAAGAAAAAAGTCTGGTAAGGAGTTGCATGGTTGATTTGAGTCTCTTACCATAGCTGTCTTCAGCAGGTAGCAGCGCCTAGCCAGTATTATTTATCCACATTCTGTGCCCTCTCTTTAAAAAAAGAAAGCTAGATTTTTTAAGGATACATATCCAAGAAATGTTATTTTTTCTGTAAATGTTTCTGTATGTATCTGTTAAGACACAAGGAGCTAGCCACAAATTGTTAGTACCATTGTTCTGCCCAAAAAACAATGATAATTCATTACTTTTTCCAAATTAAGTCATAATCAGATGTTCCTAGCTATCTCAGTAGTTTTTATTAATTTTTTTCATTTTTACAAGGATGTATTCATTTGAAGGGTAGAGACAGAGAAGGAGGGGGAGAAAAAAGAAAGATCTTCCATCTGCTGATTGACTCCCCAAATGGCCACAATGACCAAGGCTGGACAAGGCTGAAGCCAGGATCCAGGAGCCTCCTCCAAATTTCCCATGTGGGTGCAGGGGCCCAAGGACTTGGGTCACCCTCTGCTGCTCTCCCAGGCACATTAGCAGGGAGCTTGATCAGAAGTAGAGCACCACCACCACCATAACTACCAATTAAAAAAAAAAGAAGAAGAAATGGAGCAGCCAGGACTTGAACCAGTGCCCATGAGGGATGGTAGCACTGCAGGTGGCAGCTTAATCTACACTTAACGCCAGCCCCTCTCAGTAGTTTTTAATAATTGGTTTGTTCGGCTGGCGCTGTGGCTCACTAGGCTAATCCTCCGCCTAGCGGTGCCGGCACACCGGGTTCTAGTCCCTGTCGGGGCGCTGGATTCTGTCCCAGTTGCCCCTCTTCCAGGCCAGCTCTCTGCTGTGGCCAGGGAGTGCAGTGGAGGATGGCCCAAGTGCTTGGGCCCTGCACCCCATGGGAGACCAGGATAAGTACCTGGCTCCTGCCATCGGATCAGCGCGGTGCACTGGCCGCAGCGCGCTGGCTGCGGCGGCCATTGGAAGGTGAACCAACCGCAAAGGAAGACCTTTCTCTCTGTCTGTCTCTCTCTCTCACTGTCCACTCTGCCTGTTAAAAAAAAATAATAATAATTGGTTTGTTCAAATCAGGATCTATGGAAGATCTGCATAGGGCATTTGATTGAAATTATTTTGGTTTATTTGTGTTCACTATATTTCTCTTGTAATTTTTCTGTTGAAGCAATTGATGTTTGTCTTGCAGAGTTTCCCATATACTGGCTTTTGCTGACCATTCATTATACTTTGAGACTTTTTGACTCTGGTGGCTGGGTGTGAAGGGATCATCCTTGATCTTTTTAATGAAGTTATTGAGAAGGAACTGCCACAACTCATTAAAAAATGAGCCCCAGAGTGTGGACCCAGAGGATTAGCAGACACTTAAAGGGCCCTCTTCCCCTCTCTCTGTCACATGGCCTAAGGATTTGAGTGGTAAATTTATCTGTGTGGAACTGGGAGGAGATTCTAACTCTTAGACCCCAGAAGTGTATAGATGTTCCGCTGTTTGTGTCTTTTTGCAGGTCCCTTTCTCTTACACCGATGTTGGCTCCTTTTGCCCACAGGAGTTTCACAGTTTTCGAGGCTTGACCCCTTCTAGATTATTCACAAATATTTTCAAGTTAGATTCACTTAAGCTCCCAACTATCTGCTGAACATTTCTTCTTGAATACTGCTTGATCATCTCTTTAAAAACATTTTTTTAGAGATTTATTTATTTGAAAGAGTTGCAGAGAGGGAGAGAGAGACAGAGAGATCTTCCAGCTGCTCCCCAGATGGCTTCAATGGCCAGGGCTGGGCTGGGCTGAAGCCAAGAGCTTCATCTGGGTCTCACACATGGGTGGCAGGGACCCAAACACTTGGCCATCTTCTGCCACTTTTCTCAAGCTTTTAACAGAGAGCTGGATCAGGAGTAGAGCGGCTGATCTGGGATGCCAGCAGTGGCTTTACCTGCTATGCCACAGTGCTGGCCCCACATCGGCATGTTTCAAAGGATACCACTGCGCTGTTAAGAGGCAGTAAGTCAGGACCCAGGACCAGGAATGGAGAAGGAAGCAGGTGTGCTGTTCGGCTGGCCTTCTGTCAGTTGTGGTATGTCACACAAAGATGGATGCCCTGTGACCAGGGAAGCTGCAGGGTATGACCATTTTGCTGGTTTGTATATGGGCACTTGGACAGTGGCATTTCTTGACCCCTGACCGTAGTCTACAACCTGCTTTGTTACACAATGTATTCAAGTGTCTATTTTCAGATATCTTCTCCAGTCTTTTTCAGTGCTTTACATTTAATTTTTACTTTTTTTTTAAAAAAATATTTATTTGAAAGGCAGAGAGAGAGTGTCTGCTAGCTCACTCCCCACAAAGCCTACATCAGCCAGGGCTGGGCCAGGCTGAAGCTAAGAGCCCAGAACTCCATCTAGTTCTCCCAGGTGGGTGGTGGGGACCCAAGTGCTTGGATCATTGTCCACTGCCTCCCAGAATACATTAGCAGGAAGCTGGATCCAAAGCAGAATAACTAGGACTGAAATTGGTACTGCCAGTATGGGAGGTTAGTGTGGCTTAACTTGCTGTTCCACAAATCTGCCACATAAATACATAAATACTTTAAAAAAAAAAAAGATTTGTTTATTTGAAAGGCAGGGTTACAGAGAGGCAAAAGCAGAGAGAGAGAGAGAGAGAGAGACAGAAATGTCTTTCATCTTCTGGTTCACTCTCCAAATGGTGGCAGTGGGCC